TATATATGTGTGTGTATAAAAATACGTATTACACTTACAATTCTGCAACATTATTATCGAGGCACTATTATTTATCACCATCGTCGTGAAACTTTTCAGAAAACAGCACTTTTCCGATCATCTCCCACGAGCGCTTCCACGCGGAGAATAACAAGTTTGAAAGTCGTACCGTAGTACCTAACCTATACGGGAGCGTCGCGTGGAAGCTTGAGCAAAAAGCAATACACACCTGCATACTATCTGCTGAAATGATTTCCCCGGTGAAACGACGGGCCAGCTCAATAGCCAGTCGCGATTTTCCGGAACCCGTAGCACCCAAAATCACCAAAATTGGCACACGCGACATTTCCACCTTATTCCGATCAACCATCGTAACGCGGTACTGGACGCATGCGTCGTGATCTCTTCTGAGCGGCCCACTCGATCCGTCGTTCCGTCAAGCGGAACGCGCGGACTTGAATCACGCGCTAGATTTTAAAATAACAAGCATGACATCAGCGATGTTCAATGATAATGAAGATTATAATTCTCTCGAATCAGTTGTCCGTAATGTGCACTTAAATTTATTTCAGACAACATATGATTCTCATAATTAAAAACAATATTTTATTTGTAACTTTAAAACATTTCAAACTTTAAAACTTTAAATACATGTTAAATTAAATAAAGTAATTATAATCATGAACGTCGAAAAAATCTGTATACTCGTCTAACTAATTAATAATATTCTCTTAATTAACATCACCACTCATTTTATTTATTATCGTAAATAAAGAAATTTAAAAAATAATTTATTTTAATTATTAATAATGTTTTACAAAGTTTAACAAAAAGAAGTTTTATAATATACAAAATATTCTTTTCAAAATCTGATATGAAAAATCTCTAAAGTGTTGTGTCAAATTTCTCTCTAACCAAAACTGAAACTTTTCATAACAGGCACGCTACGGTGATGATGTAACAACTTCTGCAAATTGTAGTATTGATTCATGACGCATGAATTGTTAAATCTTAAGAGGCATTACGTAATGAGCTATATTGACAAAATAAAATCACGATCTGCGTGAGAAATATTATCCGCAATAGTAAATAAAGAAAATCATATACGATCATAGCGTGAAATTATAAAGGCATGAAATTAAGCATTGAGTTATCTTGTTGAATAAAGCCAAAGCGCAATATAGCTTATAGCAGCTTAATTCTCACCAAGATACCATTGTCTTTAATTCAATTACGCGGATATGAATTGACCTAAATTAATGAAACATTCAAAATAATAATTAGCATCGCCCTTTCAATTTATATGTCATTTCAAGCTATAAATATCTATAATAGAAAACGAGACATTTATTTGCAGAAATATATATGTTGCAAGACGCTACAAATTTCTCACTTTTTTCTATTTACAAATTTCGTAATAAATTTAGAGTTGATCTTTTCTTTAAAAAAATTTATTAATTATTATTTACTTTTAAGATTTAAAATTTATATTATTTAAATATCTTTCTATTTAATCCTCAAATAAAAATATCGTTAAAATCTATTTCTAATTGATTAAAATTGTGAAAAAAGTCTTAGATAATTTATAAATTTATATCTCTAAAATTTATATTCCTAAAAGCTAAGAGCTATTATATCTTAACATCTTCAGAAAATCGATTTTATATTGGTCAAGGATTGTTATCAAGGATCCGTCGTTAAACTTTAAAGCACGAAATACCGCTACATTCCGTCTACATAACGTGTAAATTCTCAACGGTATTCAAAATAAAATCATGCTAAACAAAGCGATGTTTATCATTCTATATGCGTTCGTGGATTACGTTTGAAACGCGAAGGCGGAATCACGTACAAAATGGTGCAAACAATTGGATTCACGTACTTGTGTGCGGTGTTGTATATGTGTGCATCTCGTATCAAATTCGATGCATGCTATTTCTAAAAAAAAATATATCAAATTTATATTGCACCATTCTTAAAGCTTATATTTCGCTCGACTCAATTGCAATTCTGTCAATGATATTAAAAAATTCTCATCGCCCGATGAATAACAAGTGTATAAACAAATTTTACTACTAGCATAAATTATGTCACTATGTTATCAGCACGGATTTTTTATGTCATCAATACAAATCTTAGACGATTAAATGATAGTATGATATCACTTTAAATGATGAGAAAATAGTAAAGAAGTTATTAATAGTTTGAAATATGTTTTCCTTTTATCTTTTTGTTAACATTTTCATATATTTTTGTTTCATGATTTTTATTGCAAACAGTTATATTTAATCTCAAATATGATACCAAAACATACGTTTGTAATTTCAATCACTTTGTGTACTTGTACGTGGACAGCAATTTTATATACATTTAACAGTTTAATAAAAATATAGCAAATACTCAAAACATTGCGTGAGGGATTAATCGCTCAAATGCGCTACCCGTATTGTATGACGCAGCTGTTCTTAATCCGTTAAACGGTTGCATTAATTAAATACTAACAAATCGTGTGTACAGTCTGTCGGTAGGAGATATGACAAAAGTGATAACATTTTTCTGTTACGTTTTGTTACAGATTTGCAAATAATACAAAATTTTCTTTATATTACATTAAAATACATTACCAAATGAATCACTTTCTTCAATGCATATTTATTAAATTAATTGCGTTTAATTATGCAAGTGCAAAGAACAACATTAATTAAACATTTATGTACACATTTACATAAATTATTATTCCGTCGATTTACTTTTGGTGTATTTACTAAATAAAATAATCTATTTGAGAAAAAAAATATTGAATTTTAACTGGTAATTTCTCACATGGCGCACTCAATATTTCTTACATTAGTGCAAAACCAAAAGACCTGTACATAGTTCGAACTTTACGAGAGTACTTAATTCCAGTAAACAGCACATTCGCAAATAGTGCATTATAATGAGTCTTGCATATATTCAAGCGAAAATATCCATCATCGACAACAGATAAAGATCTCAATGATACAAACCTTTTTTACACCATTGCGTTGCAGAACTATAATAATAATTAAATTGCTATGCTGATTGCATGTTGCGTAATTTTCATAAATACATACCTCGCACTTCATGACTAACATTATCTTATATATATAATCAAGAAGCGCCATTATATTTACATTTTACATTGCATAACAATATACAAACACTATGATATTAAATAACATAGCAAATGTTTATGACTGCAACACAAACAAATGTTTATGACTGCAGCTGACAAAAACTCGAGGTATACAAGAAAGAAATGAGCGAGCGCGAGCAAAGATCATAGTTTCTCGCGCATATTGCACATTCATTGATGCAAAAAGTTAACACTGAACGCCACCCCGCACTTTCGTTAAAATGGCAATTGATAAGAAGATAGATCGACATTAGTGTAACGCGAATATGACACCGACGTAATACAATGCCTACGTAATGCAACGCGAACACAACCTTAGTGCGAAACACAATGCCGATGTAATGCCGACGTAACGGAAAACGTGATGCGAATGCAACGCTCGTGTAATGCAACGCAACGCGGATGTAAAGACGAGCGAGGAGGTGAACATTGGCGGTTCGATTTTTGCTGTTTAACGTAATATGTGAGCGAGACGCGCCAACGCGGGTGCCATGCAAATTCAAACGCAATGTAATGCAACACAATGCAACATAGTGGGTGCAGTGTCAGTGTAACGCAACGTGACATAACGCAATGAAACGTAATGCTAACTGAAGAATAAATCATTGCGCTTCATTATTTCTTATCTCCTAATGGATTCTAAAAAATCAAATTCGTTCTACACGTTCTATGTGTTTTGTCTTATTTCGCGTACTATTTTCAGAGATATATGTGATATTTAAAGATATTGATTAATTTTATTTGTATTTTAACTTTTTTTTTTTAATTATATATTTTTAATAAAGCAAAAGCTGTCTATTTAATTTACATATTTCTTTAGAATTAATTTTTTATATTATCTATTTTTGTAAATTGTTTTCAGCTTTGACCACGTTCGCAACAGCTGATTGAAAACATATTTTCTCTCAATGGTATTTCTAATTTGAAAGGATCAATGAACCGATGAAATGTATAATAAGGGCAACTCGAGTCCAATCTTAACATCCCTTTTTTGACTGGATGTAAACTAAAATTTGTCGAAATATTTGGCATTAGAATTGTTTCGACTCGATGTCGACAGAAATGACATAAAATTTCGCAAGAGTCGAGATAAAGCGAGATAATTTCTTCTGCAGCGTCATATCTTTTAAAGTACAACTTCAACTATAATGTAAGCATAGAAAAGAGACAGTTAATCACGTATATGTACAAACGTCAGTTTGTACAAGTCCTAAATCAACATGCAGTGCGACGACCTTACATGAGACATTTAATTTTGATTTCAAAACTTTAATATTAAAACAATCTGTTGTAAGAACTTTCTTCGCATCTGTGTAACCTGCTTAATTATTCAACATTTTTAATAAAATATCTAACAAATTTTTATAAAAAAATTTAAAAAGTACTTTAATATCTCGCATTGCACTCAGACGCGTTACGTTATGTTGCGATGCATTTTAATTTGTATATATTTTTTTACACTGAAAAGAATTTTGACAATAATAATAAATGGTTTACACGACAACGTTAACCGTTGATAGAAGCGACTGTGAGTCAGGGGGTTGTGCCTCACAATTAGTATAAAATACTCAAGCTCCTCCGCGATGCAGTCTTTATTTTCGAACAAGACGTGTGCGTCACGGCCAAGTTACAACGGCGCGTCTTCGGCGTTCTGATTTATCGGTAATTTTACACCTAATGAAGGGCTGCCAGCAATTTCACAAGCCCGGAGCTTCGTGGAATCTGTGTGCACGGAGACTCGTTATATATCATTCACTTTATTGGCGGCGCGAAGGAATATATATGCGCGTCGATTCTGCTTTCCATAATTCTCGCATTTAGCCGTCTAATCACCACGACCGTCCGGTCCGCGAGCCGAAACGCGTGTTGACGCAACTGCACGGGAACTTTCCCGCCACTACACAGGAAGCACACATCACGGACGAGCGGCAAAACGCAAGGAGCCGCACACCTACGAGACGACTCCGCCGCGGTTTCCATTGACCTTTCCAGTTGCGTGGTGGCGGACATGCATATTAATACAACGTTATGTAACAAGCTTCTCGTGTGAGATCACTTGTAAATTTATCTTCGAAGAATATATTTTCTCGATCTATCGCACTTAATTCAAAATTGATCCAGGATTGCCGCTTCTATTCAATATGTCTCTCATTTGCGCTAATATACCAACGATAAAGAGAAGATAATGTAAGTCCATCAGTAAAATCTGCTTTAGAAGTTGCAAGTAAATGCCAGCTTTGTTTTGAGATACATGGAATCTACATCTGTTAACGTTTCGATTTTTTTCTAAACTAAATAAAAAGTATGATATGCGTACTTTTAGTAAATTTACACCTTATATCTAATAAATAAAAACAGCCAAGATTAATCGTGGCCGTTCATGTTAAGTCAAATATTAATATTAATATCCGTAAAAAAGCGTTTATGCGCATGCATTACTTACCAACTGCAACATTGAATTATGACGTTCCTTGTAACGTACCTGTTTGCAATTTTCGTTGAATCCAGCCATTATTTTTTATGGTATCGAATTAATGCAGCTATAAGACTTTATAAAATCGTTTTTCCCTTTGTTATTCTCTACAAATGTTCGATATACAAGCATACATTAAATTTAAAAATAAAATCTATTTTAAACATTTTATTCTGATTGAAACTTTTCGAAGCAGAAAATTATGTCATTATTTAATTTTGACAATGAGAACAAAGAAATAAAGCCAATTTAACACGGAAAAAAGCAGAACAAATTCACTGTTAATATTTCAAAAACTGAAGTTTTGTATCCTGCAATTTTTAATAAATTAATTATCTTGCGCTTGTTGGAAAGGAAACAGGTGCGGATAATGACGTAGGAGTAAAAAAAAAACTACAAAAGTTAAATGCTATATTTAATTCATATAATAAAGTAATTTTTAGATATTACATATAATAATTCAAAAATTATGAAATTAATTTAGTTATGAAATTACAATAAATGAATAGGAACTGTCTAAAAAGAAGTATTCTCTCACTTTTTCTTCCACTTTCGAATGTAGCATAGATATCGCGCCGCAATTAACAATTTTAGCGCATATAATATCAAGGTTTAAACAAGAGAATCGTCCAGCTATCGGCGATTTGCACCTTGTACTTTTATTATTATTTATTTAACTATTTAAAGCTGAATAACTATATTGTACTAATATATTGAACTTGCTTCGCTCAATCAATATTGCGAATCGCCGGGAAGGACGAGCCTCCTTTCACATAATTTTAAGTACAGTTATTCAATGTCTTCCGAAATGAAAAAAAAAAAGGAAAAGAAATTTCGTGAACAAACACTTGTTCATCTATAGGTCCTCATACAAAACCTACACGGTCCTTGTACAAAAAACAGAATGGCGGCGGCTATTTATAAACTGCCTGTAAGATAAGGCTGTTTTATAACATAGAAATATAAATATTATTTCTAATGTAATTTTTTTCATACTATTAACTTCTGCTATAAATATTCTCGATTTTATCTATTATATAATATATATATATATATATATATATATATATATATATATTCTTATTATTTGTATGTGTTCAGTGACTTAAGTGTAAGTAAATTTGTACAAGGACGATTTCTGTAAGCTGTCACAGCGACTCGGCAACGGTCTTCCATTCGATTATGATCAGAAGACCAGAGGAAATTGGTCATTAAAAGGCTTGCCTGCCTCTATAAATGAAATTACATATAAATTTCCTCATTCGCATGTAATTTAATAACAATTATAGAGGTATATATATATATCGCAACGCATCAATTATTCGTCTCTGTGCTCGCACGATATTTCAATCTTACAAATATCTACGAACAAATCGTTACAATACAGAATTGACAGTTCCATCAAAATATTTATACAAATGGTCGAATTTAAAATCAAAAAAATTAGACTATTGAGATCTTTTTATTTAAGAGGTAAGAAAAAGTCTTTCCTACACTTTAATATTTGAATTACAAAACAATCACGACATAAAAAGATCACAATAAAATAAAAATTTTTGTGCACGATGTTGGATACTTTCGCCATTCTTGTTATTGGAAGACTTAAAGCACCAATTTTTCAGAGCAAGAACGAAGTACAAACAATATTAACTTCTCTATTAAAACAGCTAGTAGTCTTCGTAGTACTCGTTTGCGTTTTCCATCGCGACGAGGAAATGTGCGATGCAATCGTGGAAAAGTACAAAATATGTGTACATCGTACTCTTCCTCGCCGAGCAAGCAAACAACCCAACGAAACTAATTTTTTACTTTTTTCATTTTTTTTAGATTGATTTTTTTGAAAAAATAAGAGATTCTATTTGTATATACGGTGTCCGATAATTGCTGAATCACTTCTCAGATGTAGGTAGAGCGGTTTAAACAGAAGAAAAGTCCTCTATCATTTTACGATTTTCGCAATAATTAATGAGGAATTAATTTAAAAATATCGGCCAATTCGCGCGAGTTTAAGAGCGCGGCGAGAAGAGACCCGTGGTGATACAGCCCACTGTTATTTGGTTACTAGGCGCGCGATAAATCGTTGGAAGGAGCGCTCTACAAATGACAACGGCACATTCGAGCGGTGTGTAACGCTAGATCCTTGCGTCCTAGCGACCACGTAACAACGGGCTGTCTCTTCTCGCCGCGCGTTTAGACTCGCGCAAATTGGCCGATCTTCTTTAATTAATTTCTCATTAATTATTGCGAAAATCGCAAAACGATAAAGGACTTTTCTACTCGGTTTAACCCGCTCTATCTGCACCCGAGAGGTGATTCAGCAATTATCGGACATCCTGTATAATATACATGTATCGCAGTTAAAAAATTTATCACAAGATTATCTCGTAAGAAATTTTATAAACTGTATATTTATCTATATACATGTACATATTTCTTAAATTCCCATATATGTTTTTTTATATAATATGATATTAATTTTGCTGTTACGCATCTCCTTCATGGGGTGGCATTAATTTTTCGTCCGCTTTCCACAGAAATTATTTTTATTTGCAGTTATATAAAAATAAAGACAAATAAAAAATATGTTTTTCTTGTTTTTAATAAAACGTTTCCACTCTCGTCACGCCCATTATCGTATCCCATTCCACCACTTTTAACTATATTTATTTTCATACATATTTATTTAACGATACATGTATATAAAATTATCTCGTATGAACGATCGTTAGATATATTATTTATGTAAATTTTATTTAGCACAATTAAACCTTGGTCGCATCTTCGGCCAATGAATATCTGCGCTCTGAATGTAAGTATTTCTTACTTATTGTATATATTCGGTAAAAATTCGAGACGCGAACTATTTATAACAAAAAATAGGCCTGGAGCTAGACGGAGTGGAAAATATTTATACAAGGTATTTTATACTAAATTTTGAAATTACATATTAAAAGCTAAAAATTTTACGAATGTGCGGAAAAAGATTGTAAGGTATAAAGCGAAAGGATCTTATCATGTTTTGAAAATAAATGTTCTTTTTAAATTTTACCAGATAAAAATACCTTGTATTATATAAAAGTTTTCTGAAAATATACACAGCGAGGCTTGCTCCAATAATGTGCAATAAAAAAATTCGACGAAAGCATTTATTTTAGGGCGACAAAAAAAAAAAAAAAAAATTTTAAGTTTAGAGAATGTAAGAGAGGTAAGAACAAAATCTTTAAAAAAAAATGTGTAACTGCAAAAGGAGCGAAACTCGCAAGTCTTGGCTATTGTCTCGGTAATAGAATTACTATTGTTCTAATTAAAGCTATATACTTCTTTATAATATTAATTTTAACTTTACAATGTTTTATTTTTTTCTAGATTTATTTATTAGCAGGTACGTGGCAAAACAGATGGCAAGGTGTTTATGGAAATTTAATGGAGAACAATTGAGCATTAATTTGCATAGTAAATTAATAATTATTATTAATAGAAAGGAATATTAAAGGAATAATTATTATTTTTAGATTTACGTTTTAAATTCTTCTGTAATATCAATATACAATAGCAAACTTAATAACTTTGATGAACTGAGAGAAAATGTATTAATTCGAGGAATTTATGAAAAAAATAAAAGCAAAATTTATACTGTAAATATCTTTTTTATTCTCTAAACTAAATCTTTTTATTTTCGGCAAAATAAAATTTGCTCAAAATTTATATGTAATTTTAATATACATTATTCCTTTATTCTAAAATTGTCTAACTTTATCATCATTAATTTGAGACTACTTGTTACTATTTCTCAAATAATTAGTTAAACATTCTGTATAAAGATGTAACAATTTTATCATTGTTTTGTCATTGTTTGCAAAACTTGATTTATTTTCTGAATTATATTCTGAATAGTAAAAATTTTTACAAAACGAGAGGTTTGAAAGAAAAAAAACTACAAGATGTAGAAAAATTGAAAAAACACCTTCGCAATCCGTATTAGATTTTCTAAAGAACTTTTCAATGAAAGCTCCTTAAACGACTATAACTCTACTAAATTAACCCCCCCCAAAAAAAAAAATACCTCCAAAAAAAAAAAAGAGAGAGGGTTAGGATAAATGCTTAATTGTAAGCCGATGGTATTTATTCTATTTCTTAAATCACATGCTAAATATAAGCACGAAATTTGGCACTCTATGGAATTCACAAGCCAGAATACATATGTGAAAAATGTGGAAATAGAAAAAGATAGGATTTGTGTGTAAAAAAGGTTTCCGTTCCTCAAGGAGAACGGATTTGGAGCGAGGATTTTTCGTTTGTCCGTATTTACAAATATTTATCAATGCAGAAGATCGGTAAATGTACTCGCATTCAGTCGCCTAATTAACAACGTTCATTATTCATATTTCGCAAGAAAAAATGCATTATTTGTTTCGTCATGCTTATCTAATTCTGTCGAATTAACAGAAGGTTCAAGAATTTCAAAAGTCTGCAAAAAGCGATGATGCGATGTATACATCGATGCATTTCGACAATCTAGTCGACGAGTACTTTTACCAAGATTCTCCTCGCGTAATTATCTCTCCACGCGGGAAAGCATGCTTTTTTCATAAAAAAAACTTAAAAATACCTAATGTTTATATAATATATAACGTAATGTCCTAAACTACACTTCCAAATTACATGGAAGTGATTGAGCTAACTAATCGCGTGCGATAGATGTGTGTTTCTATTCATCTATCGGGTCGCGATATTAACATAAAATATAAAAAACAGTTTATAAAAAACTGTTAATTATTTTTATGGTAGTTGCTCAACTTCTAATCTTTCACGTTTATTAACATAAACGTGTTGTCAGTTTGAAACAATTAATGTTGTCGTCTATTTTAAACTGTGTAGGTATGTATATTTATAAATATAAAGTTCAAATTGTGATAAAAATATATGTTGTATGTACGTATGCTCGCGCGTACGCGATATGTGTCTATTATATAATTAAAATATTAACTCGCATGATTCCCTTTTTCCTCTATTATGTTCGAAATGTCGAAATGTCGACGAGACTCTGCGTCTCGTTGGCGTTCGAATGTTTGATGGCTCTATTTCTTATGCATATGATGTTATTATCATCATAATTATATGATTATAAAAAACCTTTTAATATGTATATTATTTGTAATGAATTTACTGAACACAATTGTTTTTACTAATAATATAAAAAATTCTTAATTGTAGATCGCGTCCATGCGATCTTCGTTTCTGTTAATTCATTATTACTGAATTGTATTGTATTGTGATTATCCAACAGTTTTTATGTTAAATAACATAAAGATATACATAAGAGTGTAATAGATACATATATGTATAATAACATATGTGTATAAGATACATATACAAATACATAAAAAAGAAATTATTATGGGTTATCAACGGTATATTAAAGTCATATGATGTTAATACTTATAAACTGTACAAGTTTATAAGTATTAACATAATAATAATATCAAAATCACTAGTCCTCTCTAGTCTTTACCAATTATAAGTTAACTTATAAATTAGATTAAGTTAGATTAGAACATAATAATAATTTCTTTCCGTCAATTTGTATCATTTCTCTTATTATATAGAGAAATTTGTACAGAGAAACTTGTGCAGTTTATAAGATAACTTGAAAGATACAAAAAATTATTACAAAATGCATGATATACTAGTATACCATACGTAATTATACACTCTTATATATATATCTCTTATGTATGTTTAGAATAAACATTTCACAATATTTGATTATTTAAATTTTATTAGTTTAACAAAATAAAGCAATTAACGAATAATTTCAATAATATATGTGAAAAAATCCATTAAAAATGCCGGCTATTTGCCGGCAAATTATTATTAAAATGGATTTTTGGTGTGGCATAAAATTCTATCAACAAAATAAATTAATTCCAGGTTATTTTCCTTCTACGCCAAAATTAATGACGAAAGAGGGTTACAGATAGATGGTAACAGTTTATCGTTAAAGCTCTATTTTATTGCACCCAATAAAATATGCATGTTTTAATAACTAACTTATTTATGTTTTCACAAATAATTTGAATTAAAGTGTAATAGTGAAATGAATATGTACATTTGTACAGATGCGCGCTAGCTATTTCTATAACTACTTTTTTTATAATATTTATTTCTATCTACTGTAACAAACTAGATTGTAGCCGAAAGTGACTATTTTGACTTTTATTATGTGTTTTTAGAAGAGACCTGAAAAGCGATTCGCTTTCATCAAGGTCGTCTGATGACCATCACTGTAAATGTCTTTTCCGTATGAATTAGGTGAGCTGCGAAGAAACACGAAGAAGAATACCATTCACTGGTGCTCTCAAATAGAGCGCTTATTGTATGACCGTAAAAATGCAATGAAAGAGAGAGAGAGAGAGAGAGAGAGAGAGAGAGAGAGAGAGAGAGAGAGAGAGAGAGAGAGAGAGAGAGAGAGAGAGAGAGAGAGAGAGAGAGAGAGACGAAGAACAAGAGAGAGCGATACTTATCTGAAAGCTAAATCATAAATTCAAATTTGGGAAACTTTTGCGGCTTTATACAATTGATAAAGAAGCAAATGTCTCGTGGCGGTTCGATCTATCGGGATCTATTCTTCTAATTTGAGAAACGCGAGAATTTTCTCGCGATCGAATAAAAAAAACAATCTAGTTTATTACAGTAGGTAGAAATAAATATTAAAACGTAGCTATAGAAAAACGAATCAATTCGTTTTCCATCGATATATCGCTAAAGCATTTAGAGTACTTATACAAACCGCTTGTCTCCGAGCCGCAGCCGATCACATTGCTTCCTGAGATTGTTCATTCTCAACAACAACATTTGATTCATTGTCGAATATATATTGTTTTCACTCATCAGTTCTCTTTCCTGTTCGACTATGTTCTCAATCCATTTCTGCCCTTCCTCCAAGACAGACGCTCTTGACGCTTTTGGTTTCCTCGCAAGTTCCGGAATTTCCCTTTTTAGCTTTTCCTGCAAATTGTTCAGTTTTTCCCGTCGCTGTCGCTCCAGTGTGTTGTGTAGAGTTCTCTTATCCGATTGTTCGGTTTTAACACGTTTCATGAAAGGAAGCATTTTATCTTCAAGGGCTCTCTTCCGATTCGCGTTTGTGGAGCCGGGTGGTCTGCCGCGAGGTCGGCGAACAGGTACGACCGACTGGGTAGCGCTCTCCGGGTTTTGCGGCTTTTTAAATTGAAATCCCATTTTGCCGAACGATACTACGTCGATCTCTGAACCTTCTGTAACAGAATAGATTTGCTATTGTAGTAAAGTCAACATGCAGTGTAGTCAATGTATCAAACACTGCGGCAAGAACACAAGCGTTACGCAAACGTCATGCTCGCGTAACGCGATAAAATAATACTTCACGCATCATATGATATACTACTAATAGTACAGCTCGTCGGCTACGAGTGTTTTCTTCCGTCGTAAAATTTAACATGCATATATCTTTCACGCAAGAATTTATTCACCATCACCGTCAAATAAAGTCGGACAACCAATCGATACTACCAATAATACTGTAAAATATTAGGTAACTAAAAAAGTTCTTGCCGTTTTTCATAATACATCATCAATCGTGAAGACGGTCTTAAACGATCGTATTCGATCGAGAACTATTAGAAAAAGTGACAAAACTGTCGGGTTCCAAATTCAAACTAATAATTTTATATTGCTAGCACTCTTGTTGACAGATTATTACGCACTAGACATCGCTAATTAAATACAACCAGACAATCGTTTCCGTCTCTTCACAAAATATCTTTACGCTCAGAGTTGAGAATTGTGTCGAAAATATATGAAAGAACTGTAGATATAAAATTATTAAACGCACCCGAAATCATATGCCGACGGACATGCGATAATATTTATCTCAAAATTCCGCAATCGTAGCTGAGTAATTGTTATAACGAGTAAATCCTGCCAATGCTACTCAGGAAACTGTGGTCAAATATATATCGCACAGCTAGCAACTGATTATTTATATAAAAAATTGTAATAGCGCATGGTTAGCGTGTGATTTGAACAATTAATAAATAATGTAAGTAATAAATAAATAAATAAGTCAATAAATAATTATAGTAACCTACATAATGATTAAAAATAATGTTATATTTTAAACTATTTTTATACCGATAAGCTTTTTTAATATTTATATTTAAAAAAAAACTATAAAAATTTAATTATAAAATTGATTTTAAAAAGAATTATATATTTTAAAAAAAACTTCACGAGAGCATTGCCTTTGAAAAGGAATTAACAATTATTAAAACTGTAGCAATACATCATACGAAAGAGAAAAATGATTGACAGCCTTTGTCAACGAATTCTTGCAAGACCATGTGGTCACAGAGGCGTATGACATACGAAACCGTGGGCGTTTCTGCAAACTATGTTATCCGCGACGTCTGACACAATCAGTGGAAATCCGGTTGGTCCGGATTCCTCTTGGATGCAGTTACTAATTCCCTCGACAAAAACACTTCCGTAATACAATTCGATATTGTCGCATTCATACACACGTGGAGATCGCCTGTCTCTCTTTCTCTCGGTTCTTGTGCCCAGCCCTAATCAGTTCACATTTCACAATTGTTGTAATAAAATTTCATCTCGACCGCATCGTTTCGCATCCGTTGTAATTTGTCTTATCTTTATTGAGTCAATTCATTTGGCTTTCAAAGTGATTCATACGCAATAAAGCGCAATAGACCGCTATTAACTTATTATGTCTCAATATTTCTGTTCCCTGATTGCCCGTGATTATCATTAAAAAATTCCCTGAATCCGTATCTTCAGTCGCTTGTAAAAAGTTCAGAGTTCAACTGATTCTTCGAGCGGAACTTTTTGATTAAAACTTCACGAACAAAAAATTTCCCCGACACATGTTTTGTCGATCGATAAATTCGTCATCCCCCACGCCGATCTTATCGGTAATTTTATATCACAATTTTATATCGTTTGTAGCCGCAAGAGATTATTAATACACATTTGCATTCACTGATTACTTTAATTTTTTAACTATATGTAATTATTACATTTACGTGAGTGCCGGTAAAATTGTCTTTTTTTTTACTCTTTTTAAAACGTTATATTTAAAATTATAAAACAAACAAATATTTCATATTTTGCTATGCAGAAATTCATGAAAATACGTATGCAAAAAATTTTGGAATAAATGATAATTGGAATATGAATTTTATTTTAATCTTCAAAAACAGGCTAGATTTTCGTGCTCCAAAGCGGAATATTCTTTTAAACTAAATATATATGCGCTATCCAACAACACGTTTTCTCTCTTAATTAGTTTTGTTAATTTAAAACATTTATTTTCCAGCATGCATGCCCTTTTTGGCACTGTTCCACAGATGCCGTAACATTTCAGTCCGAACTGGCAAACGGGGACAAGCGGAAGGAGACGCTCGAGGAACGAGGAAGAAAACGAGCCTGTCAGGCTCCGCGCGCGCACCTATGAACATATACGAAAACGGGCTCACGTCGGTGCTCTCCTCCACGTGCTCGGTGCATTTAGACATATGAATCTTGCCGAAACTGGCGCGACGCCAGGGCGTCGTCGCCCTCGGTGAAAAAGGCGCGAAACGTCTAAAAATAACGACGCGCCAGTTAAATTAGTAGGCGAGAGTTTGATTTACTTACGCACGCGCTTCTATCCCGGCGCTATGACATTTGCGATCCAACTCCTTTGTGATAAAATTCTAAATAATAAGTACTGAGCAATTAAACAACAACTATAGTTAATAGTAATTATTCAATAGTACTTAAAATCAAATACTAGCAAATGTCATTATTAATTGTCTCAACAATTACTTAATAAATGGTAATTAATAAATTATAGAATGCTTTTAAATTTTTCTCCAAGTATATTAAAATGTAATGTCTGCTGTCTTTTTGAGAGAGAATGAAGAAAAAAATTATATATAAAAAGTACAAAACTTTATAACGCACTTCCGACCGAAGGAGTGTTTCAGATTTTTCACGCAGATTTTCCAACGCGATATATTCGCTCTTCCGCGATATAAATGTTTAATTAGCCACGGTTCAGTGACGTAAGCATGCACGTGCGCGGCGAACCAGTAGTAGAACGCAGCCCGAGCAAGAGTGAATCGCGCAAGACGGGAACGCGGAAGTAGTTGATGACGTCGTAAGCACAATTGAGCGTCAGAATATATGCTAATAATCGCGCGACAGTGCTAGGCGCAACGGAATTTATGCTGTTCGTATCTTCGTCGTGATAAGCTCGTGTAATAGCGTATGCATCATACATATAATGCGGCAATAATGACAGACATACGGCTAACAGTGCGAGCGCACCACACGCTCGCCAACCGAATACACGATGACGATCGAATGTCAACTGTTGTGCGCAACAACCAATTCATTAACCGGCGACCATTCCGATTCCTCCCTGCAATAAATCGCGCAGATACTAATTGAGTCTTCACACGGAGGACGTGTGATAAGTAGCCAAAGACAGGAGCAAGCGTCGTTAATTCGCTGCTGAGAGTCCTTCGGCCGATCCGGCAAAGTAAAGAGAAATACTCAATTAACACGCCACTACTATGTCAAGTCGATAATTCTTCCGGCAAATCGCACACGGATTATTTGCACATCAACCGCGTATTCACATTTTAGTCGTACACAGATACATAACAATTTATAAAAAATTAGTGATTCGGAAAATCATCGCCACATTACGTAGCGTTACGAGGTGCACCTGACTTCGCTCAAAGTTCCTCTACCTCTGCCCATCTCCGCGTTTTATCGGATCTCCATCTCCTCTCGCCTTCTCTATCCCCGTCCGGTCCCTGTGCTTGTATAGCGCTTTACGAGTTACCTCGTGGATGCGTGTGTTAATACACACGCGCCGCCGCGACGGCGAGCCAGGAGGCTGCGGAAGTGGTTGGCGGCGGTCCACCGTTCGTTTGTCGTCCCGATGCAAGCGGTATAGATGCAGCGCGCGCCTCGGCTGGGAAGAGGGAGAAAAACGGGGGCGGCGGTGCTCTACGAGAGGCCAAGGAGGAACGGGAGTGAGAGCAGGAGAACCGGTGGAGGGGGGCAACGTCAATTCGCGGCAGCACGTGCAGGCCGCGTAAGAACGACCTTGGGGGTCAGTGCTCTCCCGCGTAAGCAGGCCATACTAGTACGTCGACGCGATCGATCGTCTCTCCTCTCTCTCCCATTCAGTTAGACGACGCGACGTCGATAAAGGAGGGGGAGGAGGGGGAGCGAGACGGGATGGGCAGGAGGGCGAGGGTCGCGACGAGGAGGGAGGCATCCTCCGCGCGCCGTATCGAGCGCGGCGCCTCTGTCTAGGGGACGTTTGGGCGTGGATCTTGGGTGAAAGTACTCCCGCGCTTCGGCTTTTCCAGGTGGTACGTCCCGTTGCGTCCCTTCCTCCCTCGGATACTAGTAACCCATCCACGAGCAGCGCCAAATACGGTCACAAAGACGCACGAGACGCGGATGTAATAATTCCGGAATACCATAATTAATATAAAGCAATGTCAAATTCACTTATTAATCCATAACATAACGAGAAATTTACGCAAATGTATTTTTATACAAATTATAAGTAAAATTAGGAAACTACTTGAAGAGGCATATAAATATCTTCGTAGTTTAGATAAGATTAAATCATCAACCTAATTACTAGTTTTATCTTTGACAAATGAGGACTCATTAGTTAAGAATAGAAAAGATTAAACGAGAGCGACCAATCTATAGATACCTCGATAAGAAAAATAGATACGAAATAATCTAATCAGAGTGATACGTAACAATTAAGAGTTGCGGGAGTGTCGCGGGGTATCATCGCATTGATAGGACACGCTCGAACACGCTAAATCATGTACGAGTTTCGTATTTCGCGTGATAACTACGCTAGTCCTATCGATACGCGCGTTGACCCGCGCGACCCCCATCCGCCGATAAACGCTGATAGCAAAAAAATTATGAGGTTCGTATTTCCATGACCTATGCGAACTTCCCTTTAAACTGCAGTGACACGCATACACGAAAACTTCCATGAATCGTCGTCGTTCATAAATTATCATTTTCTCCCGCATTCTCCGTGCGACGCTCCCGAGATTCAGAGAATAGATGCTCGCTTCCTTTAGAGATGATCTACTTTTGACGACCCGCGTGAACTCTCATTCTTATTCCATTCAAGAATTGCCTTCCTTTACGTCACCAAACTCTTCGGTTCAAAACAACATTTCTC